CGCCACGGCACGCGGGTCAATTTTACACTCCTATTAATGTGAATGTTAACATGTCAATGTGAATATTCACATTGTCAATGGGCCCGGCCCGGCCCGACTCGCGGGCGGGTTTCGGGCCACCCACGGGCCAATTTTACATTCCTACCAATGTGAATTTTAAAATATAAATGTTCACCTCACAAAATTGTTAACCGTTCAAAAAATATTTATAAGGGTATCAAAATTAAAAATAAGGGCATAAGTGTCCAAGAAAATAATGTAAATCAAGAAAAATGACTTTATGGAATAAAATTATACATACATGGGACTAAATGGGTTAAAAAATTCATTCATTGACTTTTTGGATTAAAACATTTCTAAATGAAATTTATTAATAAAAATCTCTCTAAAATTAGAAGGGTTGGAAACGAGTTATTCTTATTTAAATTTATAATTTTAGAAATATTTAAAATAACTTAGAAATATTAGAAATAAAAAAAATATTTTTTATATTTAATATTAGAATTTTTTTTTGCTTATCATGTGAAAAATTACAAATTAATACCGTTTGCATAGAATTTAACGAAACTGGTTCTTTTTGAAAAGGAAAAATATATATATATTTTACTGTTTTTTTAAAGTTAGAAAGTAGAGTCAATTTCAAACTGTCTTGGGCCTGCCAACACTTGGGCTGTGGTTGAAACCGCCACAAAGTATAAGATGGGCCCACAGACTATGGTGCGGGTCGGGTTCTGTAGAGTCCATTAGGAATTGGAAAGGATTTAAAAATGCGAACCAGCTTCATTCTGCTACTCCGATAATTAAATCAATGAATGAATCATAATTATATTTCACGCTTTTTTTAATTTTTTTTATTATTTTTTTATTTTTTTAAATCATGAACGAAAACAGTGTTAATAAACAACTCCTTATTCTAGTTTGGTATTCAAAACCCAAAAACCTAAAACAACTTCAGTTGTATTTTTTATTTTCTTTATTTGTTAATTTTTTAAAAACAAAAATAATAAACACATTCATTATTTTTATTTAATTAAAATTTTTGTGCTAAAATAACTTTTAAAAAATTTTAAACTAAATTCTGGTTTTTTTTTTTTCTTTCTAAAAGTTGGTTTGTAAAATATTCCCAAAATGTTTCCAGTAATGATTTGTCAATCAATTTAAATATATATATATATATATATATGTATAAATTGATTGACAAATCATTACTGGAAACATTTTGGGAATATTTTACAAACCAACTTTTAGAAAAAAAAACAAAAAATATTTTTAATTTTTTTAAAAGTTATTTTAGCACATAAATAAAAATTAAATACAAATAATGAATGTTTTTATTATTATTTTTAAAAAAATTAAAAAGAAAGAAAATAAAAAATACAACCGAAGTTGTTTTAGGGTTTTGGTTTTGTAAGAGCATCTCCAATGGTTTGCCATTGGAACTGCCATTGCTATAATATAGCAGTAGTGTTGAAAAATGATACTCCAATGGTTGAATATAGCAGCTACCAAATTTGAGAAATGCCAAAACTTGTGTCAAATTTCACACAAGTTTTGGCAGTTGCCATTTGTGCCAACTCAGCCAAAACCGACTGTTTTCCTCCCTCCTTCCCTCTCAGGGATTGTTTCACCATTTTTTTTAAAATAAGAATTCACCAAAAAAAAAATTTCAATAATTTTTTTTTTAATTTACTCAAAATCAGGAAAGTTTTTTTTACAGAATTAACAAAATCAACAATAATCAATAAATCACTCTCAAACAAATCAATAAATCTCAACAAAATCAACGGCACCTACGAACAAGAAAAATGATTTATAGAAAAGGTACCTGAATCCATGGACTTTATCTCATCCAAGAATATGAATCCATGAATCCATAGAAAAGGTGATTTATAGACAAGGTGATCCATGAATCCTGAATCCATGAACAAGAAAAGTGAATTATAGAAAAGGTACCAGAATCCATGAATCCATAGGAAAAGTGCTTGAATCCATGGACTTCATCACTATCAAACATGAAAAGTGAAGAAAAGGTACCTGAATCGGCGATCGTCCATCTTCTCAAACACCGCCGCTGAAGACCACCAACCCTCCCTCCGATTTGTGGCCAAGAAGTTCCTCTCTCATCCCTAAACACCTCTTTGAAACCCCCAACCTCAACCCCCAATTAGCTCTCTAATTCAAAGATAGAGAGAAGAGAGATAGGGTTTGTAAAAGGAAGAGATATAGAAAAGAAGAGAGATAGAGTGATGGGGTGTAATCAGAATGAGGAAAAGGAAATGAGAGAGCAGTGTCTTGGAAAAGGAAATAGGGTCGTTGGATCTATATAATCTAATAGTGGGGGTAGTGCCTTGGAATGTGTAACATGAGCCAACGGCTCTATTTCAATCTGGAAGTAAAAAAACGACCATTTTTCCAAACAAACAACACACCAATAGCTATAAATTAAACAAGTAAAAAAAGGGTAATATTTTTATAATAGTATACATACACATACCTTGTTTCACCAATTTGAGTTCATAGCAACTATTTTTCTTTCAATTATAGTTTTCTTTTTATTTTTTCATACAATTAGCATGGAAGGTTCATAAAAAATAAAGAGAGAAAAATCATTCACTACTCAAGAAGATGTGGTAATTTGTAGAGCTTGGTGTCACATTACTGAAGACCCAGTTGTTGGAAGTTAGCAATCGCATGCTCATTTTTGGGAAAGAAGTTTTGAAAATTATTACTCGCTACAAAATGATCACTCAAGAACATAAGTGTCTATCTTATCTTGATGGGGTGTAATCATGAAGTGTTGCAATAAATTTTGTGGGTGTTTAGCGCAAGTCGAAAATCTACATCCAAGTGGGATGTCACAAGTTTATATAGTAAGATTTCATTTTCATTTATTATGTTATTTTTTTTTTATATTTTGTCTTATATAAAAATTAACTAATTAATTAATTAATATTTTATTGATATAAATACTTCAAGCAAAACTTTTATACCATCAAGATGAAAACAGACATTTTGTTTTTGAACATCATTGGCCAATCTTGCAAAACAATATCAAGTGGCAAGATGTAGATCTTACGAACACAGTAAAGTCAATGATACATACACCATTTTTCCCTAATTCAGCTCCCGATTCTCTTATGGATAACTGTATTTCTCTTGAAGATGATACCAGCCCAAGTGTTGGTAACAATCCAGCTGTTGGTTAGGGCAATGTCTCTATAATGGGTAAGAAGGTTATAGGTAGAAAAGCTGCAAAAGAATTATTTTGGTAAAGCCTAAAAAATGAGCATACAATTGGAGACATTTAACCAATACCTTACTGAGAAGGAAAATAAAAAAAGATGAAAGAGAAGAAAAAAGGATTCAAGCATCACAGGAGCTGAAAGAACTTGAGATGAAAAAACATGGCTTTGAGATCAGAAGACAAGAACATGAGATGAAAAAGGAAGAACATATGATAATGACTGCAGACATTTCTCATTTGGACCTTCATATGAAAGAGTATTACACAATGCGAAAAAATGAGATTTTCACAAAATGGTCCTCAAATGTCAGTAGCCCAAATTACTATTTTCCTCTACCTCCTGATGAATAATTACGAGATAATATATTTTTAAATTTTGCAATGTCATTTGTTTTTTAATGTAATTATCGGTCTTTATTTGCAATGTCATTTTTTTTTAAATTTTGTAATGAAATTTCTTTTCTATTTTTATTTTTGAGTATTTTCTACAAAAGAATGTAATATTATTTTTGCAATGTATACTGTTGACTATTTTTTAGTATAATTTAAATTTGTCAAAAAAGTATAATAAAAAAACAAATAATTACAAGATAAGTAGAGTGATATGTTTTTTGGTGGGGTGCATTATATTTATTTTTTTTTCTTCTAATTTTTCAAATTTTTTTCATTTTTTATATTATCTAGTTGGGAATAATATAAATATATAATTTTTTTTTACAAACAGGTAAAAAATGTCATAAAAGATAAAAAATAAACAAAAATAAAATAACAAAAAAACCTGTATCCAAACAACACCTACAAATTTGGAGAGAAAGTTGGTTGAGGTTTGCCAAAATAGCAAATGATCATTGGAGCACCATTGCTATAATTTGGCAAAATAGTACTATTCATCGTGAAATTATAGCAATAGCAATGGCATTATAGCAATAACTATTGGAGATGCTCTAAGAAGTTGTTTATTAAGACTGTTTTTGTTCATGGATTTAAAATAAAATAAAAAAAGATTTTTATTGATAAATCTCATTTAGAAGTGTTCTAACCCAGAAGTCTATGAAGAAATTTTTTAATCCACTTAATACCATGTATTTATACTTTTATTTCATAAAGTCTTTTTTCTTGATTTGCACTATTTTTTTAGACTCTTATACCTTTATATTTAATATTGATATTTAATGTTGGGGGAGGAGAGAGAAGGGAAAGGACCAAGACATAGGAAATTTTATACACAAATTAAATAATATTGATGTTATTATTTTATATTATTATATAATGTGAATATATTTTTAATTGACAACACATAAAAATAATGTGAACATTCTTTCTCATTTGATGTGAACGTTCACAGCACCTTTCCAGAAAATTCTTTCTCATCTAATATAGTGATGTGAACATTCACAACATGTGAACATTCTCTCTCATCTAATGTAGTGATGTGAACGTTCACATTCACATTCATATGTTTTTAGTATGAATATTCACATTATGTAATTGACAACACAATGACAAAAATTCATTTCAAATTAATGTGAATATAATGATGTGAATATTCATTTCAATTACATGATGTGAATATTCACATCATGTAATTGACAACACAATGACAAAAATTCATTTCAAATTAATGTGAATATAATGATGTGAATATTCATTTCAATTACATGATGTGAATATTCACATCATGTAATTGACAACACAATGACAAAAATTCATTTCAAATTAATGTGAATATAATGATGTGAATATTCATTTCAATTACATGATGTGAAGAATCACATCATGTAATTGACAACACAATAATAAAAATTCATTTCAAATTAATATGAATATAATGACAGTTAACATCCTGATGCATGGGAACTGCCAAAACATAATGACAATCAACATTAAATATTAACATTAATAGAGGGCGAGAGAGATTGAGGGTGTTTTGATCTTCTTACCTCAAATAGTCAAAAAGAATATGGGTTAAATGAAACAAAACTCTTAAAAAGAAGATTTATAAAAAAAAAAAACCCTCAAAAAAAAAAAAAAAAAAAAAAGTGAAAGAATGAAGGTTGCAGAAATGATTATGCAATGTTGATTTACTACATAAGTGAGACTCTTTACGTGGAATTAACTAAGAAAGAGCTATCAACTCAAATGACTCGGTGTCTAAGGCCTAAACAACCAAAGCCATGAGGACTTACAACATAATAATCATAATATTCAAAGCATAAACTATTTAAATAAATTAAAACAACCCTAAAATAGCCCCTAAAGTGTAAAAAACAGTAGCTAAAACCCTATTAAAAGAGCACAAAAGATAGGCAAAAATAAAGAGATACAAAGCTAGTAAGCAAAGCTAAGGAGGGGTGGCTAACCCCTCCACTTTTGAGACTTCTAAAAGTGAGTATTAACGAGTTTTCTTGAAACGCGTTATGTATTAAAAAAAAGTGAATATTAATGTGTTTTCTTAAAACGTGTTAAGTATTAAGATATTATAGAAAATCAAACAAGTATAATAAGGTAGTTTCCTAAATCAAGCTTTATTTTTTTTGAAATCCATAGTTTCCTAAATCAAACTCTATTTTTTTTTTTTTGGAATCCGTATTTCCTAAATCAAACTCCATTTTTCTTCAAATCCAATTCTATTAGGAAAAGGTTTCTATTAAACCACTACTCTACTATATATACACACATCCACACACTACTCTCTATACATAAAAAAATTTGTAAATCCAGAAATTCATAATGTCTCGTTGTGTGATTGTTCGTGATGTTTGGGCTGATAACTTGAGTTTTGAGTTCGGTTTGATTCGTCGAGTTCTTGATGATTATCCAAACGTGGCAATGGACACTGAATTTCCAGGGACGATCATCTTCTCCGACAAGCATTACTCTTGTTTGTCTCCCTCCGACAACTATTTCCTCATGAAATCGAATGTGGACGCGTTAAACCTCATACAAGTGGGTCTCACTCTGTCGGACAATCAAGGCAACCTTCCCGACTTGTACACAGACAGTTGTTACGCGTGGCAATTCAATTTCCGAGACTTCGACATCGAGTCTGATGATCTTCGTAACGCGGATTCGATCAAGCTGTTAAAGCGGCAAGGAATTGATTTCAAGAAAAACAGAGAAGAGGGAATCGATTCGAGAGAGTTTGCGAAGATGCTTTTGTGGTCGGGACTGGTTTACAAAAGGCCGTCGAAGAGATGGGTGACTTTTCACTGTTAGTGTATGATTGTAATCAATGTTAGTGTATGATTGTAATTAGCTTTAGCATGGTAGTGTAGCACTTTAGCTTTAGCATGTTAGTGTATGATGCACTTTCTTTATTTTATAATGTAAATTCTTTAGCTTTTGGTGGCCGATATATCACATTCTCTCTATAAAGAGAGAGCCTTCTCTTTGTAAGAATATACAATAATAGAACCATTTTCAGTGTCTCTCTCTGTCTCTCTCTATCCTCTCTCACTCTCTCAAACTAATATTTCATGGTATTAGAGCCCAGTGTTACATTTCTGGCAATTTTCGATTTTGGTGTTTAGTCCCGTACACAGTGGCACTACATCAAACCGCTCGGAATTTTCTCACGATTCCAACGGCACCAAGCCCGTTCTCAGAAACCCTTACACGCGCCCACACGCGCCGCCTGTGTCCTCTGCGCGTCACCACTTCCGCCACCACTCTCACACGCGCCCGCACGCGCCATCTGTTGTTGTTCACTTCCGTCACGCGCCCACACGCGCCCACACGTCCGTGGCTGACGTCAGCCCTGCCTCTCCCGTACGCCACGCCTGCTACTGTACGCCTCTCGTGCGCCGTTTCGCTAGTGTGCACCCGCATGTGCCAAAACAGCTACCGTGCGCCGCGCCTGCGCCTGTCTGCTACCGTGCGCCGCCGCCTTCCTGCTAACGTGCTTCTCCCTGCACTCTGCTAACGTGCGCCGCTGACATCATTACTGACATCATCTCTGTCCAGCATACCTTTCCTTGCTATTTTCGACCTTCCGGACTCACTGGTACACTCTGTTTTACCTAATTTTGCTCCTACGGATCTATTTCTATTACTTTAACCCTACTCAACTAGTATTATGGATCGTCATGATGCCTCCCATCCCATTTCCGTTATTTTGAATGGTTCAAACTATGTTCTGTGGGCCCAAGCCATGTCCTCCTTCCTCAAAGGCAAGAAGCTCTGGCGAATTGTCATCGGGGATGTGGCTAAACCAGTAAAAGACAGTGCCACTACTGAAACTGCTGCTCATACTGCTACATATGAAGACCGACCTGAGGAATGGGACAGTAAGAATTACCAAATCATTACCTGGTTTCGTAATACCTCTGTTACCTCTATCAGTCTTCAATTTGGTCGCTTTCAGCTTGACTCTATAACTACTCCTGCAAAAGACATCTGGGATTTTTTGAAAGAATGATACCAGACTACTGGTCTTGCCCATCAATATCAACTTCAGAACCAACTTCACCGCATGCGCCAAGAATCCACTTAGTCCATTAATGACTTCCTTTCTCAAATGTACTCTGTTTGGGATCAGCTTGCTCTTTCAGAACCAACTTGGCATAACCACGAAGATGCTGTTTTATTTACTATCTATCGTAACCAGCAAAGGTTGGTGCAATTTCTCATGGCTCTTACTTCCTCTTTTGAGCCCGTACGTGCCTCTCTGCTTCATCGCCATCCATTGCCCACTCTTGAATAAGTAATTTCTGAGTTGCTATCGGAGGAGACTCGTCTCGGTACACTTCAAACTCATCATGTGGATTCTGTTCTTGCCACTCCTCCGTACCGGCCATCATTTACCCAGCGGACCACTGCTTGCCTATATTGTCAGAATCGGGGCCTTCCTTCAACCCATCTCCTGGTCAATTGCCCCATCAGATCCTGCCGCTACTGCAACAAACTTAGTCCTGGTCATCTACAACAGGATTGTTTTTGCAATCCATCCCGATCATCCTCCAATAGCCACTCCTCTCGTGGTGGCTCTTCCCGGGAAAGCTTTCATCGTTCCGGGAATCAGTCTCATCACACTGCTACTGCTGCTTCCGGGAATCAGTCTCAGCACACTGCTGCTACTGCTTCCAAGAATCAGTCTCATCACACTGATGCTTCTGCCTCTGCGGGGTTCTCTGAGTCACCTGCTCCGTCTACCCCTGGCTTTTCTCCGACGGATGTAGAGGCCATGCTCAAACAACTTCTCTCCCCTTCTGGTACACCTCCTCCTACTGCTTTATCTGTAACCCTAGGTAACTCTTCTTGGTATTTTGACTTTGCCTATTGTAATCATATGACCTCCAGTTCTACTATCTTTTCTTCCTTCTCCTCATCTCCTCATTTTTCCTCAATTCATACTGCTGATGGTTCCCTCATGTCTGTCCGTCATGTTGGTACTGTTTCCACCTCTTCTTTATCTATACCTCAAGTTTATCATATCCCTGCTCTCACCTTAAACCTTATTTCCATTGGTCAATTATGTGAACTTGGTCTAACTGTCACATTTACCAACATGTATTCGAATTGACAAGGGAAGCATTTGAATGATGAGCACATTGAAATTTTGAACTTGCCCTTTAGCCGCCAAATTTTAGAAGGTCCCATGTTCAAATGAAAGATGTCCATGTTCAAATTGACCTTGTGGCCTTACCACAGGCTTATGTTGATGATACATTTGCTCATCTTGCGGACCCTTGTGTGCCATCAATGAAATAAATCAGATTGATTCAATAGTAGTAGCCATGCGATTTCATCATATTTATCTTAAAAAAACTAGACTGCCTATTTTGAAAATCATACATGTCATCCAGTTTTTTGAAAACAAGTATAATGAATCAAGTGGCTACAATTATTGGATCAATTATGATTTTTTCATGAATTATCTACACGCAAAGTCCTAAAAAATGAATAGTATGGAATATTAAATTTAGAGCTTGTAGTGAGCCCAATGGACCAAACTGGATGGGTCTACTCCTCTCCCCAACTGGAGAAAGGTTGGATTCATTCTGTATTATTTTTCTCCTTTTGGTAAATGATGTTAGTGTATGATTGAATTAGCTTTAGCACTTTAGCTTTAGCATGTTAGTGTAGCACTTTAGCTTTAGCATGTTAGTGTATGATGCACTTTCTTTATTTTATAATGTAAATTCTTTAGCTTTCGGTGGCCGATACATCACATTCTCTAACTTTTGGGGGGAAGCTGCTCTCACTGCTGTTTACACTATCAACTGTGCTCCTACCCCTGTCATCCATAATCAAACTCCCTTTGAACGTTTGCATGGCACTCCCCCTCTTTACGCCAATCTTCGGGTTTTTGGCTCTGCTTGCTTTGTTCTACTTCAATCCCATGAACACACCAAGCTTGAACGTCGTTCTCGTCTTTGTTGCTTTCTTGGGGTATGGAATTGAACATAAAGGCTTTCGCTATTGGGATCCTCTCTCTAAACGTTTTCGTATCTCCCGCCATGTCGTTTTCTGGGAGCACCAAATGTTTTCCTCGCTATCCTCCTTTCACTTACCTGCACTTTCCACTACTGTACTGTTTACTAATCCTTCCATAGATTTTTTTTCTGCTGATTTTGATACAGGTTCCTCCTTCATCGAGACGCCCTTGCTCACTCCTGATCCCGTCCAGCCTGCTCTCCCTGAAGGTCTACCTCTTATTACCACACCTTCTTCTCCACCGGTTCTTCCTCCCACCGATCCTCTTACGGGTCGACCACGCCGGGTAACTCAACCTCCTATCCATCTTCGTGATTATATTGTTGGATCTACTGCCTTCTCTACTTATGAACCTACCTCCTATCGTGAGGCTTGTACTAATCCTCTTTGGCAGCAAGCTATGACTGATGAACTCCAGGCCTTGGACAAAGCACATACTTGGGATCTTGTTGATCTTCCTCTTGGCAAGACTGCGATTGGCTACAAATGGGTTTACAAAATCAAAATACATTCTGATGGCTCTATTGAACGCTACAAAGCTCGTCTTGTTGCCAAGGGTTTCAACCAGGAATATGGTATTGATTATGAGGAGACATTCTCTTCTGTTGCTCGGCTTACCTCTGTTCGCAGTTTACTTGCTGTTGCTGCTGCTCGCCACTGGGGGCTCTTTCAGATGGATGTCAAAAATGCTTTCCTCAATGGTCATCTTCTTGAGGAGGTCTACATGCAACCTCCACCTGGTTCCACTTTTCCACCTCATCAGGTTTGCAAACTACGGCGTGCTCTCTATGGCCTCAAGCAAGCGCCTCGTGCATGGTTTGCTACGTTCAGTTCTGTCATTCATGACTTCGGGTTCACCTCTAGCCCCTATGACTCTGCTCTTTTTATACGGACTACTTCTCATGGTACCACTCTTCTTCTTCTGTATGTGGATGATATGATTATCACTGGTAATGATGAAGCTGGTATTCTCCACCTCAAACAGTTTCTCCACCGCCAGTTTGAGATGAAGGACCTTGGTACTCTTAACTACTTCTTAGGCCTTGAAGTCTCTCATGATTCTACTGGTTCCTATTTGTCGCAGGCTAAATATGCATCCGATCTTTTGGCTTGTGCTGGTCTTACTGATTGCAAAACTACCTCTACTCCAGTAGATCCTCAGATTCATCTCACTCCTCTCGATGGGACTCTTCTCTCTGATGCTACTCTTTATCGCCAGCTCGTCGGCAGTCTTGTCTATCTCACAGTAACTCGTCCTGACATTGCCTATGTTGTTCACATTGTCAGTCAGTATATGTCGGCTGCCCACACTCCCCACTATACTGCTCTACTCCGCATCCTTCGCTACCTCAAAGGCACTCTGTTCCATGGCCTTCACTTCTCTACTTCCTCCTCTCTTGAACTGCGTGCCTTTTCCGATGCTGATTGGGCTGGGGATCCTACGGATCGACGCTCTACCACGGGTTTCTGCTTCTTCTTAGGGGATTCTCTTCTTGCTTGGCGTAGCAAAAAACAATCCCTCACTGCCCGCTCTAGCACCGAAGCTGAATACCGAGCTCTTGCTGATACTACTCAGGAACTTCTTTGGCTTCGCTGGCTCCTTGCTGATATGGGTGTTTCTTCTTCTGGTCCTACCCCTCTCTATTGTGACAATCAGAGTGCCATTCAGATTGCTCACAATGATGTTTTTCATGATCGCACCAAACATATTGAGATTGATTGTCATTTCATTCGCCAGCATGTTACCTGTGATATTGTTCATCTTCTCCCTATTGCTTCCG